GAAATAAGTTGTGTGTCCTTTGAGCCACCTGGTGGAAGGCGGTCCCCAGGCACGAGCCAGGCCCTTGTTCCCTTGGGAGCCTCTGCACTGGCGCTCTGTGCCTGCAGGTCCCTTGGGTCCTCTGTTCTCCAGGTGCCTAAGGAAAGCCTACCATCCTGCACTTAGCGTGGCACACCCCCTGCCGCGGTCCATGTCTTCTCAGTAAGGCGGTCTGGCTGGAAGGGAGCTCCATCCTCACTGGGGGATCATTTTCTTCTAATTTCCTTACTAATTGCACTGGGAGCCCAAGGCACAGTCCAAAGCCGCATCACAGAAAGCACTCCTCCACTCAGACTCCCCAGCAGTCTTGTGCTGTCTTGCTTCTTGGACTTTAGGGACCTGGCCGAGGGACAGTTGTGGCCCAGAGGTTAGAACAGCACAGCAGGCCTCGAGCCGGACAGTGAGATTTGGGTCAGAGTTCCTCTGTCCACGGGCTGCGATGCCCAGTGAGTGAGCTTCTCTGCCTGAGTCCGGCATGTGGGTGAGGCCCGCTGTGAGGAGTCAGCAGGTGACCTGTGCACTGGGGCGGGAGCACAGTGACCTGACTGGAGGTGAGCCGTGTGTGAGAAAGGCACGGCCACCACGGCAGGCAGTGATAATGACAGCGACGACAGTGGTGATGATGACCCTGCACCTTAACATGCTACCTTCTTGTGACCTTAAAGGGTTCAATCACTTATCCTTGGTTGATTTCTCATTGTTTTCATTGGTTTACACCACTGAGAGTAATATTACTCATTCAAGAGGTATACAATCCCTAGCACCAAAAATACATGAATTTAAAAAAGCAAGAGTTAGCAAACTACAGGGCCAAATCTGACCTGCTACCTGCTCTTGCAAATAAAGTTTTATTGGAACACAGTCATCCACAGTCACTTACTGTATTTACTGAGCACAGTTATTTACTTTGGCTACTTTGTTGTTACAATAGCAGAGTTGAGTATTTGTACCAGAGACCTTCTGGTCTTACGACCTATGGCCTACACAGTCAAAAATATGTACTGTCTGGCCCCTTACAGAAGAGCTCTGCTGACCCTGTGTGAAGGAGTGTTTGTCAGGATGTGGGAGAAGATGCCTGTATCAGAAGAGGGCTATGGGCAAGTGTCCAGGACAGGAGCTACATCACTGAGCATTTCACTTCAATGAGGAGTTTAATTAGGAATAACATAAAACCACAGGTCACACATATATCAGGTACTCTGTGTGTCCACATATACCAGTTTTTACACACAGCAGTGAATCTGAAAAGGTGTATCCTGTACACTCTAATTTATGGGTGTGTTATAGTTTAGATAGAAAGGTCCCCCAGAAGTGCCTGTGTTTAGAGGTGGGGCTTTTGGAAGGTGACTGGATTAGGGGGGAGGGAGGGTGCTAGAGCTGACTTGCTGTTAGGCAGTAAGTTACTGGGGGCGTGACCTGGAAGGGTGGATTCCTGTCCCTGGCTGTTCCCCTCTCTGCTTCCTGGCTGCCATGAGGGGAACAGCTTTCTTCTTCCAGACCCTTCCACCATGTCCTTACTGCCCTGGAGTCAGCCGACCATGGACCGAATCCCCTAAAAACGATAAGCCAAAGTAATCGTCTCTTCGTTTAAGTTGTGAGTGTTGGGTATTGTGTCACAGGGATGAGAAAGAGACCAAGAAAGAGTGATTTAAGGCACCTCTTCAAGGGCAGTTTTGAAATTGATTTTTCCTCGTGCGATGACCCCCCAGGAAGATGTGACTCCCCTCCAAGTGACATCCATGAATATTAAGCTGTGTCTGGAGCAAAGTGGGACTGAGAGTCGGAACCTTCTAACCACTGAACATAAATTAAGTGCATAAACCCCTTCTGAAATCATAAGCAGAAGAATACTGCTATATTTACAAAAACTCAGTGCATTCATTTCTCTCTTCCCCCCAGGCACACATCTGTGCCATTCACATCCAGCCCTGGTGACTGCTTTGCAGCTAATCCAGGCAGGTCACCTTGTAACCCAGAGCAGCACCCCTTTAATTCTGCAAGCAGCACATACGGATATTCACGTCATCCTCTTCCACATCTCTCCCTGAGTTGTTGGAGAATAAATGAGGTGTGGGTAGGGAGATGCTCGGGGATGCTAAGTGCAGGAGACAGGCACAGTAGCATCCGGGCACAGCTCTCCTGTCTTTGGAGAGAAGCAGCTGTCTCCACATCAGGATACCTAGAGGACAGAGGGCCTCGGATGTGAGGGCAGGGCCGACCCATCTTGGCGGAGCTCAGGTAACAAATGCTCATAATTAGAGCAAATTATCTTCGTCAGAAAATAAGCAAATTATTTTCCAGTTTAATAAATAAAGACGCTTCTAATTAACTCCAGTAGAGAGATTTGCTTTCACATACCAGTGCTGAAGCTCTGTGTTCTTTGTATTAATATTCTGGTTGTATGGCCCACCTTAATGGTTTTTTACTGTGCTTTACTGGTGCAATGGAGTTTTAGGAGAGGGAAAGCAAACCCAGAAATGATTCAGCATGACTCTTAAAACAAACAGAAAAACTGGAGGCAGTCATGGCCCAGGGAAGTTCAGTCACTTATCCAGAGTCCCTTTGGCTGGCCAGCTGTCCCAGGACCGGATCCCTGGGCCAGCGTGCCCAGCAGTGGAAAGGCCTCAGCCAGACTTGGGTGGCCGTGTCAGCCCCTGGCCTGGCGCTGGCCTCTGGGGACCCACAGTATCTCACCCGCCAGGGCACTGCTCCTGTTGCTAAGATGCTGTCAGTAGCCCTGGCCTCCAGGCTGTGCTGTGCCTTCCAGCTCAGTCCATCTTCTGACTGCACGGTGTGGATTGAGTACCCGACACACCATAGTCTTTGGTCAGCCTTGGCTGACAGCCAGAGCAGGTATGGCTGAGGGTTTCTTGGAGCCAAGCTCTCTCTCTAGCTTGTGCCCCGGGGCATAGGCCTCAGGAGGTCACGATCAACTTAGCCAATGACCAGATCTCCTGAACCCCAAATCCTGGACTCTGTTTTGTGTGTGTTTAAATCAATGAGCTTTATTTTTAGAGCAGTCTTAAGCTGACAGCAAAACTGTGCAGAAAGTACAAAGTTCCCGAATATCCCCTGTGGGCACATAGAACCTCCCACCGTCAGCACCCCACATCACAGTGACACATGTTCTGGGCTCCGTTTCACCCCTAAATCTTAGGTTCTTTGTCTTAGGGTGACAGAGAAAACACACACGCTAAGAGAACTTGATTCTGAGTGTCTGTGGGTCACAAAGGTAGGTGTGGGGCGATTTCAGGTCAGTTCCTTCTGTCCTGGAATGCTGGTATTTCTGTTAGTCTGTCCCAAATCAGGTGGCTGCTGGGTACTTACCGCATCTCAGCTTGCACTGAGGCGAGCTCTGTCTCTCTTCTCTGTCTCATTCCTGGGCTGGAGCAGGGCTTCATTCCCCGAATAGCACTGAGGACTTGGGCATAGTGAAGTGCAATCATGGCTGCCCTAGGCGCCCCTGTAAGCAGGGAAGAGAGGAAAAGAGAAGGGACGCAGAGCGTCACTGTGAGCTGAGCTGAGCTGTCCAACACCCACCACACTCAACGTCGAGTGAGCAAAGGTTTATCTTGGCTCACTGGTTTGGACGTTTCTGTTCATCATCAGCCCATTGCTTCTGGGCCTGTGGTGAGGCAGCGCATTGTGGAGGGAGCACGTGGTGGAATAAAATCAGTCAGCTCATGGCCAGAATACAGGAGGAAGAGAAAGAGACCAGGGTCTCGCGATCTTCTTTGAGGATATGCTCTGCTCCCAGTGACCCATTTTCCTTCCACTGTGCCCAACCTCCTCATGTTCTTTTACCTCCAGACAGCATCATGGGCTGAGGGTCAAGCCTGTGACACATGGGCCTTTGAGGGCCATCCAAGATTCAAACTGTAGCAGCACATAACTAACAAGATGCCCACCGTACCATGATACCATATAGGCCACGGTCTCCTACAACCTCTCGAGCTGCCCTCCTCTTGCCAGAGGTTTATCCTTAAGCCCCTACTCTTTCCTCGGTCACACTTTCTTGGCAAGAGCATTATCCCTTGGGCCTTATCCCCACCTGTGAGCTCTCCTCTGCTCCTCACGTGTGCAGACCCAAAGGCAAATGTCTTTCCTCTAAGGCTCGGTCCCTGACTCTTGCCTCTAGCTCTTTTGTCAGTGGGTCTCCTGCCTTCTGAGTGCTCCTGCCTGTTGGGACACGTGGCTGTGACATTCTCACGGCCACTTGGGAGTGAGCAGGGCAGTTTAGGAGCTACAGGGACAGTACGCAGTGACTCCTGCTTTATATTTTAGAACAACAGCAAGCTGTTAATCTTCCATCAAGGAGTTCTTTTATAGTGGACGATTCCATAAAAGTTGTGAAAACTGCATTTGGAGCTAGCTGCGTATTTAAACATTATGATGTCTCTCTGTTGAATTTATGAATACTTTCAAACGTTAGTCCTCAGGTTTTCTGAGAGAAGCAACAATTCTCTGAAATTGCCCATTATGTGAAATGGGGGCGATTACCGCTAATTCACATCTGCACCGTCACCTGTGCCACGAGACTGGGGTTTGGTGCAGTGCTGGGGCGCTCAGCTCGTCAGAGTTTATGTGTACGTGCGCAGCAGCAGGCGTTTTTGTGGAAGGCATTTTATATAATTCCAAACAATTTAATAGAAATGTAATTCGACTGGGAAGACTACAGTCCGTCAGCCCTTTCAAAGTGCAGATAATGTTCCAGATTAAAGGGCTGGAGCTTTGTTCATTACAGTCAGATAACGCGAGTGTATCAATTACCATTTTCCTTGCCATTGGTCTATTTCAAATGTGTGCCATTTTCCCATTATAATAATAGGCTACATTTTCTTAAAATCATTTGATTATGATTGGCCCTGTCTATTCAGTTTGCAAATAAAAAGCTTTTGCCATGATAAACTCGCTGTTCCAAAACAGCCTTCATCTCTGCTTCTGCTTTTGAACCACTGCAGGTCAGACTCGGCGAAAGGCTGAGAGAAGCCAGTCCTGCTTACGTGAGAAGAAGGAGGTAAATGTGTCCCTGGCCAGGGGTGGGAGGAGGCGGCTCTGTGAAAGGCCTGGGGGCTCTGAGTGGAGAGTAAGGATTCTGGGGCCCCCACCTCCTCTTTTCCTTTTCAGTCCCAGGGTTGAATCCGGATGAAACCCTAACTGTCAGCAAGGTTTGTCCACAGTGTCACAATAACAGTCTCTTTGTGCGTCCGCTAGCTTTGTGTACCGCACGCTCCAGACTTCAGTTCATGAAAACAGTAACCATGGCGCTTAGCGCCGAGTCTGAGGTCCAGCATTTTGGGCCCAGGCTCTGCTGCCTTCCTCCGGGAGGCCCTCGAGTGTGGCACCTCGAGTGTGACACCAGCTGCGTGTCACCCGGCAGCTGGCTGGACGTCAGTCAGGGTGACCCCGTTCTCCTGCCATTGTCTCCCATCCTCTGGCTAGGCTTGCCCACGTGGTGCTTCTGGCTTCAGGGGCACACGAGTGGCAGACAACTGGCACAGTGTCCCTCCTGCCACTTTCTAACATGAAAGGACAGGGCTGGGGATTTAGCTCAGTGGCACCGTGCCTACCTTGCAAGCACAGGGTCCTGAGTTCAATCCCCAGTACCAAAAAAAACCACACACACACACATAATAAAAGAAAAAGGGAAAAGAGGTGGGAAAGAGGCTTATCTCGAGGGGAAGAGCTGCTAAATATTATGACCAAGTCCTGAGTTCAATCCCCAGTACCAAAAAAAACCACACACACACACATAATAAAAGAAAAAAGGGAAAAGAGGTGGGAAAGAGGCTTATCTCGAGGGGAAGAGCTGCTAAATATTATGACCATCCTTCAATGAATATGAAATCAGAATGAGGAATTATGCAAGTCTTTCAGCCATTGGAACCAAGCAAATGCATCTATGTACCATGCCCATGTATATCTGCCTGCCGGTCAGTCTAACCTATCTTCCCTATAATGCTTAGTGTTGCATTGACTTCTCAGACTTTGGCTCTCATTTTCTAATATCAACTGCTTACCCCCACCCCCACTGCTGTACATATTACAGGTTCATTACTTACTTTTTTCTTCCAATATGATTCATCTGAAACATTTTAAAGTATGGAAAAATACAATAAGAGTTAGAAGCCGGGTGTGGTGGTGCATGGCTGTAATCCCAGCATTTGGGAGGCTGAGGCAGGAGGATTGCTGTGAGTTCAAGACCAGCCTAGGCTACATAGTGAGTTCCAGGTCAGCCTCAACTACATAGTGAGACCCTGTTTCAAAACAAACAAACAAAAAAACAGTATTATGACCATTCTCTAGACCCACCCCTTGAGCCTGCCTGCCCAGTGCCAGGCACCAGGGAGACTGGGAGATGGGGTGGATGAGACAGGCGCTGCATGCACTGTGCATGGAGAGAGGCCCGTGGGATGGTCCCAGTGCGGAAGGCCAAGCCCTCACAGAGGGCAGAGGATGGGCTGTCATGGAGAAACCGTGGTGCTTGCCAAGCACAGTGTTGAACGCCTGAAATCTCAGGTATTCTAGAGGCAGAGGCAGAAGGACCACAACCTTGAAGCCAGCCTGGGAAACTCTATAAGACTTGTCTAAAAATAAAATAAAAAGGGCTAGGGGTCGTAGCTTAGTGGTAGAGTGCTTGCCTAGCATGCAAGAAGCCCAGGGTTCAATCTCTAGCACCATGAAAAAGAAAAATCCAGTGAATCTAACTCTTCCAGTAGTATCAAGAAAGACTTATCAGAAAAAATGAGGGGGGCTGGGGATGTAGCTCAGTGGTGACACCATCTGCCTCACAAAAGCAAGGTCCTGAGTAGTGTGGTTCCCCCTTACCAAAAAAAAAGAAAGAAAAATAAAAATAAAAGATGAGGTGTAAGCTTGTTCTTGAAGGATAAGTATGAGTTTCCAGAAACAACAAGGTCAGAGTTGGAGCAACATAAATGGGAAAGTTGCGAGATTAACTGGGGTGGAACACAGTCACAAAGACCTATGGATTGTTACCGCAGGGCTCTCTGAGCAAGTCACTGCTCATGGGGGTTTAAATTGGTGCCTTATTCAGTGGCACAGGGGCATACAGGTGCAGGGGAATGAGGGGATGTGGCTCATCTAAAAAACCCAGCAGTCCTGAAATTCATCAGCTCTTACCCAAGAGCTTTGATTGCACAATGATTTGTCAGGCTCACCTGGGCCCAGGACTTGCTCTTTGCTTTCTTTTCTCATGCCCCGGCCCTGCCTTCCTCTGCCTTGGCTCATAGCTGGCTCTGGGGCACCGTGCTGAGGTTGGGCTGCAAAGGCCTCAGGTGCCTTGTGGTGACCGCAAGCGTCTCCCTCTCCTGTTGGCTCCCTGTAGCCGGAGCAGCCAGCGCGGGCTCTCTGTTGTCAGCCCACCCACCTGGGACAAGGCTGGGAGACAACCGAGGAACTCTGACACTGCGAGGTCTAAATGTCGGCCCAAGTGGGCAGTCAGAGGCTGAGCTGGGGTGGATTTTCCTGTCCTTGAGGTGGAGAGATGAGGACAGGAGTAAGTGCGGGCCTGCAGACCCCGTGGCACCTAAGCTGGGAATGAATTGCTTCACCTAACCCAGGCCACAGGATAGTGCATCCCATGACTCAGAGCAAAAGATTGGCAAGATAACCTCGCTCTCTTCTCCTCCCCTCCGCCCTCTCTTCTCTCCTGCTCCTTGGCAACAGGGCACCCCAAATTGCGGCTTCCTCAGCTACTCCCATTGTGCCAATTGCCTGAGAGCATTTCAGATCGTTCCTCTCCTGTAAAGTGTTTGAAGTGAGAGAAGACAAGAGGGAGGCTGTTTATCTCAATGCCCAGGTTTAACCTTGAAAGACATTTCCGATGGTTTCAGGCCCTCTGAAGACAGAGAGTGCAAGGCTTTCAACCGTGCTTTCTTTTGGTTAGAAAAACAGAAGAGAAAAAATCAACTGGAACAGCCAGCTGCCAGGTTTCTCCCTTGAGACACCGTGATGTGCCTTTCCACCCACTTCTCTGGCTGCACCGCTCTCTCCTCTGTGAAATCCCAGCACTCTGGCTCACTGTGCCTTACACAGGTTGCCAGGTATGGGTCAAGCTATGTCACCCTGAAAGGCAAGGAAAGAGCAAGCTTTCTCTTTCCCAGAGCTGGTTGGAACAGGCAGCTGGAGACAGGCATCGCGTTCCTTGGGTGCTGAGGTTGAACCTGCGGCTTGCTCTCGGCAGGTGAATGTGGTCTCTACCCTGAAACAGGTTGGGTACTGAACCTCCTTTGTGGTCATGGAGTGACCCAGTGAAGGGGAGCGGAGGCTGCTTTCAGTGAGCTTGCCAGGCCCAAAGATGTGTTGTGTCTGACCCATACACTGTTGAAATCTGTCTCTGTCTGTTTCTGAGATAAGGTCTTTCTATGTAGCTGAGGCTGGCCTTAAATTCATGATCCACCTGCCTCAGCCTCCTAGGTGCTGGGATTACAGGAGTGCACCACTATGTCCAGCTCTCTTATAGTTTTTTAAAAAGTAAGAGTTCACACTTAGACATTGGGAGATTTCCCATAAAAACGCAGACTTCTGATTTCTTTGGACAGTAAGGGAACATTGTCTTCCTTCCTTTCAGTGAGTGGGCAGTGTCTACTGTCAGTATGGCTTCCTGACTTGTTGCATCTTTATGCTTAGTGTTTTTGGTCGCCCCCTCTTAGGTGGCCCCCAGTCAGCACTCCTGCCCTGCACCTGCTCGATGATAACAGGTCTGCAGCGGCGCACAGTGGTGACTGTGTGGGCACTTCACAACCGAGTCGCCTGGGTGCTGTCAGTCCTGCTGTCCAAGTCAGAACCTGCGGGGGGGGGGGGCGTGGCCTCAGCACCGGCCTTCCATTCTCTGAGCAGTGCCTGAGCCTGTGTGCAGCATGGATGAGAAGCGCTTCCATGCTTCAAATAGGCCCTGGCTGTTTCTTTTCTTTGCTTTTCGTGAGGCTAGAGATGACCCCTGCTAGGCAAGTGCTCCACCACTGAGCTGCACCCCAGCTCCCATCTATGCAAGTCTGTAACCTAACAGAAGGCTGCCCCCCCCATTCACTGCAGTCACGAAGGCCAACAGTCACTGCATTGATAGCCGTGCCTATTCACTTTTTCTTTCAGTGGGGATGAAACCCAGGGCCTCTCCAAATGCTAGGCAGGTGCTCTCCTGCAAACCCCCCAGCCCAGCCCAGCACCCCACTCTTGGCCCAGGTGCTGCCAGCACAGTCCTCACCCACTGCCCTCCGCCCACAGACACAGGCTGACACAAGAGAAACATGGTGATCAACCTACAGCACTCCCCACCCCCCCACAAAGGCCCAGGGGGTGCCAGAGCCAGGAAGGATTCCCGAAGAGCCAGCCAGAGCTCAGGCCTTGTAGGGGTCACAGTCATTTCTGAAAAAGGTCACTTTGATGGTTGCTTGAAGTCAGTAAATACTTTCAGTTCAGCTGGTTAAAATATTCTCAACCTGGTCTCTAACAAGTATTCATGGTTCCTGCCTGTAGAGATTATAGTGTGTTTATGGCCCTTGGTCATGAATTATTAATGATTTTGAAATTGTGGTCATTGTAGTTTACTCGAAAATCATTAGGAAGCAAATTTATCATATAGTGCTAAAAAAGAAAAAAGAAAGAAAATCACAGAGGAGGCTGAAATCTTTGTACATCATCCAGCCCGACAGGCAGTGCCCGCATGGTGCCCAGGGTACAGTGGAGGATACAGGCGCTGTGCCCCGACACGGTGGCAGATTAGTCACTCTGGATTGGTACCTATGGGGCCAGGAGCCCTGCAGAGCAAGTCTGGAGTTGAGCAGGGCAGATCCCAGCCGCTTTTTGAGGTCCCTCTTGCCCTCTCACCTTGTTTAATAAGGCCAAGGATGAACAGCTGTATGCAGATTAAAGGCTGTAATGTATTACAGTACCTAGCACAGTGCCTGACCCAGAGTAAGCACTCCCTAAATATTGAGCCACAAAATTTAGCATTGAACTAGCACTGTCTAACATTGAACAGAGATTAACAGGGGAGCC